CCCCCCCCCCGCGGCGGGCGCTGCGCGTGCGCGGCGGCGCGTGTCTCCTCAGCCCCGCGACGGCGGGCTGTGGGGATGCCTTGGGGCCGCCGCCGTCGGGGGTGGAGAGGGGGCCGGGCCGGGCCATCCCACCGCTTCCCGTCCCATCCCGTGGGGCAGAGGCGGGGCGTTTATGTAAGCTGTGGGTAGGGAGGCCGGCACCCGCCCGCCGCCGGTCTGTGCGCAGCCGCTGAGGCGCTGGCGGGCCGAGCGGGTATGGGGAGGGCGGCCGCCCGCTCGCTCGCTCTCCCTCCCTCCCTCCCTCCCTCCTTCCCTCCCTCTTTCCCCCCGTGTCTCCCTCGCATGTCTCCCTCGCCCCGGCTCGGCCCCCTCCCGTGTTCGGCGGAGGTGGGCGGTGTGCCTTACGAAACGGGGCCGTGTCTCCACGGCCGCCCGCCTCAGCGCTGAGGCGATTTCCAACGAGTTCCGAGTAGCAGAATGGGTTACAATGGCCTCTCTAGCAATTAGTAAAGTCATTTTTAGTAAAAGACGTGTATCTGACGTCTTCTGTTTTAATTGCAGAGCTCAAGCCAAGGCCTGCGTGCCGCCGACACGGCGGGTTTCCCTGCGCCTTCTCCGTGTTAGCCACTGACTGCTGAATGAGGCCTCACACCGACAGGGCTCTGCTGAGCAATTTCCAGCCCTGACAGAACAGCTCTAGCTGCACATCTGAAAATAAACCCCCACCTGTGGATCGCAGCTCAAATCTACAACTTCCAGAGTGTTCATAAACAAGTGGGCAGCAACAGCAAGAGGGGTCTCATTACAGATAACAGCTGACAAGTAAAAGGCAGAGGATTCACATCAGCAGTACTGACCTTTCTTGGCTTCCAGAATTCCAGAGCAGGACAGTACTTTAAGAATTGTAGTTGCTGTTTCTACTAAAATATTTTGTTCTGCTAAGATACACAGAAAGTGAAAGTAAAGTCAACAGTAAGAGACATGCATCACATGTTTCCCTTCACACCTTCCTCGCTTTGAATGATTTAATAAAATGTCATTAATGATCAAGGCATGCTAGCAGCAGAGGCCCCAGCCACGACTTTGGTTTTATACAAACTTTCTTTCTAAGAAGTGTGGAGGCCCAACTTTTCTTAAGATTTGACTTTCAACAACAGCATAAATTATTATGAGGTTTTCAATTATTATGCTTTCATACGTGGAACATCATGTTCCACAGCTCATCATTCCGGTCCAGAAGAAAATACGGGATCCTGTCATATACCCTTGCTGCAACGCAAAGCTGGAGTAGTTGCATTATTGTAAAGTTGAGCATGGTTTTCTCAATTAATCCAAAGCACATTCTCCCCCGCTTGTTTTTTTGGTTTTATTCTTAGGAAATGCCAAATATTTGATGAATAATTTTCAAAGAAATAAAATAGAAAAATCTTGGTAGTTAATGACCACTTTCCATCAAACTCCTTTTAATTATGTAATTTTTGAGCACATTGACAGAAGATAGATTCCTTATTTTCGAGGAAGGTCACCTCACAATACAGTTTTCATTTCAAACTTTCAAACTGCTTTTTCATACTCCTTATGTTCCCTGCTAGCTCCTGCCAAGGCTATGACACTGAAGATGGCCCTGAATAAAGCCCAGCGTCAACTGATCTGCCTTCGTTGGAATACTGAGGTGGAAGCAACCCTCCCTCACTGGACCTTACAGTTTCATAACCAAATGGCAGCCATGAAAACCATCAGTCTATAAGTTGTTTGGCATTATGGACTAAATAACAACTGCAATATATCATTAGCATATCATTATATCAAAACACCGTTGGGCTCTAGCCATACCTTCCCTGCCAGACGGTTCGTTCTTGATTTAGAAGTGGAAGGAAGGTGAGGAACATATTAATTAAAATGTCAGATCTCAAGGGAAGAGTTTCTCCAAGTTAGCAGAAAAAAAGAAAGTAGAATCACAGTTAATCAAGGAACTAATACAAGTAAACCTCACTCCTGGGTTCTCTGGTGGATAACTTTTTTAAAGAACATTATTGCTAATTTAGCTCAGATGGTAATCGCAAAAATCAAGAGAGTGGGGAGGAGTTAGAAGGGAAAAAAGATAACATGAAGGTGTGAAATGATAAAAGCATAAAGAAACAAGTATACAAATACATTGTGTGTTACAAATTAGAAACATTTTTTAGATACATGCTTTTAACACCTCTGTATGTCATTTATATTCATGAGCATCGTTAACTGTTGTTGAAATGGCAGTCATTCAGGAGACCAAGCCCGAGCTGGGTTGATAGAGCACGGTTGCTTTCTGTAGCAGTTCTCTTCTTCGTTAGATCTTTTTCACAGGTCTAACTCAGACCGTTGAAAATGTAGCTGACAAAAGAAGTGTTCCCGGAGAGAGAACAGTGCTGGTTTTCACTCGCTGAAGGATGTGATCGTACAGACCCGCAGTTAGCATAAAAAATCCTAACACACCTAGAAAACCCTTTGTAGTCTAGGAATCATTTATGTGTCTCCGCTGATTTGTTACTCTTAAGTTGAGAAGAGAAATGAAGTAGATACAGCTGAAACAAAAAAAAAAAGAGAGGAAGATGATTCTCACCATCACAGCTCGTTTCACTTCTGAAACACCACCAGCAAAACACGATAAATCCAATGATGACCTTTGGGAATTTCATTCTTTTATTCTGTAATAAGCACGGTGATCCCTTGGAAGAAAATATGCTGATGAAAGCTGAGCCTCCCATCATCACATCAGTGTTGCCTCCCATCTGAGTGTGATCCTGAAGAGATTTTTCAGAGTTCCACTTCCAAACTGAGTCAAAGCATCTTTGTGGAGGTCAACACCTTTGGCACCAGGAGCCCCAGGGCTGTGACTGCTGGGTACGGTCACTGCTGAGCCGCACAGGGCACAAGGCCTCACCAGCACCATTATTTCAGCTTCGGTTTGGGATAAATACCAGAAACAGAGCATTTCCCTTACTGAATCTATAGGATCACCTGCTTCCCCTCAGAACACAGGTACACAAAGTAGCCTAATTTAAAAGTGTTCATTTTTTTGCATGCCCAGAGGAGGGCAATGAAGCTGGTGAGGGGTCTGGAGAACAAGTCTTATGAGGGGTGGCCGAGGGAGCTGGGGTTGTTCAGCCTGGAGAAAAGGGGGCTGAGGGGAGACCTTATCACTCTCTACAACTGCCTGAAAGGAGGGTGTAGAGAGGCGGGGTTAGGTCTCTTCTCCCATGTAACAAGTGATGATGGCCTCAAGTAGCTCCAGGGGAGGTTTAGGATGGACACTATGAAAAATTTCTTCACAGGAGGGGTTGTGAAGCATTGGAACAGGCTGCCCAGGGAAGTGCTTGAGTCACCATCCCTGGAGGTATGGAAAGGAGGGGCAGACATGGTGCTGAGGGACATGGATTAGTGATGGGTTTTGTCAGTATTACGTTGATGGTTGGACTCGATGATCTTAAAGGTCCCTTCCAGCCTAGACAATTATTCTATGATTCTATTGCAAGACTTAGAAATGATCGATTTTCAAATTTTTTTTTTTTTTTCATTTACTACATTAATCCTCTCTTGAAAGCTGTTTAAACCCAACCACCTTTAACCATTTCTACTCCCACCGGAGCCCGCTTTAACGAGTGGAAGAACCTCGGGTGATCTCAGAGAGAGATTAAGAGCAGAGTTTACCAAGAGACCCGAGTCCTCCCGTCCCGCAAACTCACTCCGCACCGCCTTCCCTCGCTGCCGCCCGCCTCCCCGCTCCGGCCGCCACATGGTACATCCTCCTTCTCTCCCCCCCGCCCCGCAGCGGTGGTAGGGCCCAGCGCGGCGCTGCGCGGCGGCGAGCCCAGCCAGGTCAGGCGCGCTGCGGGACGGGGGCGGCGGGTGGGTCCTGCCCGGCTCCCGCCGCCTCACACCGGGGCCGTGTGTGGGGATGTGGGGGCTCAGCGGCGTCCCGCCGAACGCTGAGGGAAGCCCCGTCGCGGCCCCGCCGTTAGCGGGCCGGCTGAGGCCGCCGCTGGGCCTCCCCGCGCCTGGGCGACAGGTGCGGGCCTGCCGTGACAATGGCGGCGGCCCGGCGGTAAAAAGGGGGCGAGGTGCGGGGGGAGAAGCGGCGTGTGGTGTTAGCGATGGGTGGTTGGGAAGGAGAGGCTGTAGCGGCCTTCCAGTTCCTGCGGGGAAGGTGGGGAGGGACTCCTGGTCAGGGAAGGCAGGGGTAGGATGAAGGGTAACGCTTTTAAACTGAAAGAAGGTAGGTTTAGATTAGGTATTAGGGAGAAATTATTTACTCCGAGGGTGGCAAGACACTGGAACAGGTTGCCCAGAGAAGCTGTGGATGCCCCATCCCTGGAAGTGTTCAAGGCCGGGCTGGATGGGGCTTGGAGCAACCTGGTCTGGTGGGAGGTGTCCCTGCCCAGGGCAGGGGGTTGGAACTCGATGATCTTTAAGGTCCCTTCCAACTCTGGCCGTTCTGTCAGTCTATGAAAGCCTTGGGTGCAAGTCCCAGTTGCAGGCCAGGAGTGACCTTTTTGCCAGGGGTCTTCAACAACACAGCAGAGCCCAGCCAGGGTAAGAGGGCTCTGGCTGGATGGGCAGAAAGAGCCCTGCTAGATCTCCCACCCTCTGCTTCTGCACTAGCTGTATCCTCCTCCAGCCCCTCTGCCCCAAAGCAGAGTCTAAAGGGAGAGAAAAGGGATGTGCAGATAGAGATGGTCCAGGAGGCTATGCCTGCTTGCTGTCTTTCAGTTTTCTCTGTACTAAAAGCACCACTTGGTGACCTTTGGCATATATAACGTTATGCTTCCTTAAGCGTTTTTTCATGTCTTTCCTAGAGGGAAGGAAAACCTCTTTTTTTCGTTCCCCACAAGGCCAGCCAAGCAGTAGAACAGGCAGCCCAGAGAGGCTGGGCAGGTCCTCAGTCCATGAGGGTTTTCAAGACCTGACTGGAAAAAGCAGCCTGATCATATCATAGCAGACTCCACTTTGAGCTCTTGCGGTCCCTTCCAACCTGGATCATTATTCTAGGATCCTCTGTAGGTTTTTCAAGAAAGCTTTATGTTGGTCTACCCTATTTTTGTAATACCCCTTCATTTCTACTACTGATGCAAAGCAGGGATTCATTTTTTTTTTCCTGTAAGTGCAGAAGCTTACCCTACTATGCATTAATCTACAAAAGTGCTACCTATTACTGCTCCAGATTTCATCACAAGCTATTCGAATCCTATCTGCACTGCTCTGTTCTAGGTAAATACCTACTCTTCCTGGTTAATTCAGAGTTCAATTTAGGCATTTTAAAGTTCCATTTAATTCTCTATAGCTTACTAAGACCTGGCTACAGCTTGCTGTAATAAAAATTACAGTTAAATAATACAATAAAAATGCAGTTACCAGCATACAGTAGTAACCATATTGTTGCTCTCTTTAGTCAAAGATTTTGTGAAAAATACAGTATGAGCAAGAGGTTGGTTTGTTAATTATTCAAAAAATGAAGTTTGGGTCTCAAAATACACATTCAGAAATTTTGAATTGAATTTCATCCCTGAAATGAGGGATGAATCAACCATTGGATCCTAGTTCCATGTCCTATAGAAGATACACATAGGAGTCTTATTAAATAATGAAACTTAAAACAGCCCTTTCATCTGTAGATACAGGTCACTGCAAGCGTGCTAACAAGCAGGATCACAGATAACTTCCAGATAGACATCAGTTCACTTCCCTGTTGCTCTTATGACACCTGGCAATAGGAGGGTGCTGCTGGCACTGAGAGCAAATGTCTTGTCTGAACTGCCCATTTTTTCCTCTTAATTTCTCAATTGATTTACAATCCCCACGGCAATATAGGTATGTAAAAAGTTGCAGTGGGGTGCTGCATATTAGGACAGTAGTCCAGCATGAGCTTTAAGAGTCCTCTGAACTTTTTGGAATAGGTTACATACCCTGGAAATGTGATACTGTCATCTATGGTCTCTAAAATACACCAAATGATAACTCTTAATCATCCTCTCAGTTTCTAGAGAACACCATGACATTAAAATCCATTCATCTTATTTTGCATGTGATATTTTGCTTAGTGCTTTATGAGGGCTCCTGAGTACCCCAATCATACATGGTTTAGCAAATAAAGTTTTCCTTCCTTTTATAGTATTCTCTCTTTCTGCATGGATGTTCCTCGCTAACAACAGGAAGAAACTGACTGTGATGTCGAAGATTTTCAGACAACATAAAGCTTCTTTTAAGTGCACATAAAAATCATTTCCATGTCAGATCTTAGAAGAGCACAATTTACTATATCAGAATTTTTTAAAAGCTCTATAATAGATAAAATGACTGTGTTTTAAGTGACTGTATTACTCATAAGGCAATTTTGTTTAACAGCAGGATTACACATTGAAGTAAAAGTCATGGTTAGTTATTTTTCCAGTTTGTTCTTTGAAAGTATCATCTGACATCCCAAACAATTGTAACAATACTTTACTTGGCTGGCAGTTTCCAGCTGAGCTGAAGCATTAATGAAGAAAGCCCTGATCCTTCAGAGGTTTGTTTACTCTGACTGGACCCACTCAATTCAATAGAGCTACTCAGGGTACTGCAACACAAGCGGTTGTGTCACTCCCTGTGGAGGGGAGGCTTTAGTTTGCAGTCCCTGTGAAACAGTCCCTTTTTCAGGACACGGAAAGGTCAGCACACAAAAAGTTTGTGACTTACCTACACTTAGAGTGCTTTCAGGGCTATTGGGGAAAAATAGTTCATCCTGTGGTGGAGCTTCCTGGACAGCACTTTTCAAGAAGTTTATGAAGATAAAACCATTAGCCTTGGGGTTATGACACAAGCAGCTTCATTAACCAGATTTTGCCTCAGAGATTTGAAACACTACAGAAAAACAACTTACCAATAAACATCTTCAGTTAATAACATAAGCTTGCACATAGGAAATTATTTTTATGTCTTATTCCATTAGTTTACGATATAGTAACATGAGTCCAGCTTTTAGAAGCTGAAAAACATCAACTTAAAAGCAAAGGTATGCTTTCTTCAGATAAAGTATTTTACCCCTGGAAAATATTTAACCTTACCTGGCAACTAGATAGAGGCTCTATCGCTTAAGATCTTTAAACAAACCACGTATTTTCTTTAAAGATGGGTTATAAAGAAGATTCTAGGGGTCTCGTACAGCTGTTCCTAAAATAGGCTTCTGCTCTGTTATGTAGGAGATAAGGCTACGTGATCATAACGGTCTTTTCTCTACTGAAAAAACCTTAATTTATCTTAGTGCTCATGTAGGTACACTTTGAAGCATGCTATACTTTGGGAGAGGTGAAAGCAACTGTATAAATAGAATTGTCAAATGCACAAATTGTATTTTCCCCCCCCCTCATTTTCAATTTGAGCACTTTTAAGCATGTTACCAGCAACGGCAATTTGTGCGAGTATTTCACAGGCCAGCAACTCTCCCTGTCACGCTCCTTGCTTCCTTAAAGGTTGTTATGAAAACACCACCTAGGAAGTTAAAAATACACTTAATGCTGTCTCTGCCTGGCTGCTGCAGCCCCTCCGGCCGTGTCAGAGCAGGTGGCACCACACGCGCCATTGGTGATACCCATCAGCCAGGTGTGGGGTTCCCCACCACTGCCCTGGGGTTGCCGGGGGGACCCCAGCAGAGCCACCCAGGCACCTGTTCCAGGAGGACTCTCTGCCCACTGGGGGTGGCCAGCAATGACAGAAGTGACCCGGAGACAGAAATAAGGTGTCAGTGCAAAGGGTGGCTCTAGCAAAGTAGGTGCTGGGAGAGGCAAGTGAAGGCCTGAAGATGTTACAGTGTGCTTTCCCTCAAAACACCAGTGTGCTTATTCAGAACCCAATTAACAAGACTCAGCTAGTGAAAAAAACACATTCATAAAGATTTTGATGATTTTTTCCTCCTTAATTATAACAAGAATGATTTCACAATGCTGTTAGGCTGTGAACTGCTGCTGAAGGAGCACCAGGGGGGGTCTCTGACACATGAAGGAACGAGTCACATGCCAAACAATGCTTGAGAAGTTCAGCAAATCCATTCAGAAGAGTTAAGAAAGATACTGAAGCTGCTTTTTAAAAAATTAATTTGGCAGAATTACTGTCACATTAAATTGCGTGAAACATTTATTCTAACGTAGCGCGAGTGAGCTGTAATGTAATTAACACCGTTAGCTGCAGGAAGTGGCTGACACTTGGGTTCCTGTATGACTGCAAGCATTTCTATGGACAGAGCCCTGCCCCCACAGCAGGTTTGTTGCATCCACGTTACAGTTCTAGTGAAGCATCCATCAGAACATTAACCTTTCAAAAGTCTTCCCCCCTCTCCCCGCTTTCACATAAAAGCCAAATTTTGTGCTAATAAGAAAAATCACCATTGAGAGTAATTTCTTACACCAGCTTAGTCTAAATACCAACATCTCTGAGGACATTACGAGGTATAACTTGTGCCTTAAGTGTGTTTCCTTAGAGTTGTTCTCTTTCCATAGGGCTGAATTCCGCGATGTTGAGAGGAGCTGCTCACGGTGCAAAAGATGCATTTACTCTTCTGTTGACGAGATCTCAGTACTGGAACCCAGGATGGAATTTTCCCTCAGTGTGGACTGAAGTAGCAAAGAGGAGCTTCCCAGTACGTTCCAGCTACACAACTGACACAAAATCGAGAGAGGAAAATAAAGAAACTATTGAGAGTCTCCACAAATTGTCAGTCGATGTTAAGAAGATCCGCAGATTAAAGGAATGGGTCCTTCTCCAGGATGTGGCCTATGTTAAAGAAATTGCTGGTATCTTACAAGAAATGGGAGCAGACAAGACTGCTGTAGCCAACATTTTAGAACGCTGCCCAGAGGCAATTCTCCACACTCCTACGGAGATAAACTCTCAAAGAGCTCTATGGCAGTTAGTATGCCAGAATGAAAAACAGTTGATTAAATTAATAGAGCAATTTCCAGAGTCTTTTTTCACTATTGACTATCGTGAGAACCAGAAGGCAAATATACTGTTTTTTCAAGAGTTAGGACTTAAGAATCATATAATCACCAGGTTCTTGACAAGCGCACCAACTATTTTCTACAATCCTGTTGAGAAAACCAGAAATGTGATAGAGACATTACAAAGAAATTATTTAAGTTTGGGAGGTTCTGATGCAAATATGAAGATCTGGATACTGAAGCTATTGAGCCAAAACCCATTTATTTTATTAAGTACCTCCAGCACAATCCAGGAGAACTTGGAATTTCTCCAGAAGAATGATTTCACTGACAATGAAGTGCTACAGCTGCTGTCCAAACTTAAAGGCTTCATTTTTCAACTTACCCCTACTACTATGCAGAAGAGTATGCTTTTTTCCCAAAATGTCTTCAAGTGCAGCGATCAAGAATTAAAACAGCTAGTGCTGAAATGCCCAGCCCTTCTCTACTATTCTGTTCCAATTTTGGAAGAAAGACTTGAAGGCCTGCTGAAGGCAGGAATTTCTGTAGCACAGATTAGAGAGACACCGATGGTGCTGGAATTGACAACACAAATTGTTCAGTACCGAATTAAAAAACTCTCTGCTTTGGGATACGATATAAAGAGTGGATCTCTAGAAAGCTTGAATGGTACTAAGAAAGATTTTGAAGTCAGTTATGGTAAGATACAGTCAAAGAAGGAGAGACCCATTTTTAATCCTGTTGCTCCTATAAACGTTGAAGATTAATTTGAATGCTGTCCTTTAAATAACGCAAAAGAAAACTATCAAAGAGAAAAGAGATGTTGGTTCTTTGAGAAGAGCCAAACCAAAAGCAATCTTAACCAGACTGTAGTCTTACGCTGTACTTTGTTTCTGGACTGGGTGTTAGGCACAACTTCATAAAACAATTGTAGCTTTCTAGCATTGTCAAATAATATCATAGAACCTGGTTATGATAAAGGTTGCCTTTTTCCCACCAAGGAGGACCTCATATGGTTGGTTGGTTTTTTTTTTTGGTTCTGTTACATTTCCCTATCTAACAGGGCATTAACTGCTTTGGATTTTCAGCTCTGTCACTGCACAGTCTATCTCGTGGTAACAATTAGCTCAGTCTTTATCAGAAAAAGAGAAAAGGGTTATTGTTTCCAGCAATGTTCATCAAACCACTGGTTCACTGACTTTTGGAGACTCTTCTGGGTTCCCTTCCTTATTGAAATAAGTTGAAATAAGTAGCTCTCACTCTCAGATCCTGAACTGTTGTGGACTTTATTTCACGGACAGGAGAGCTGAGCTAGAGCGCAGTCCGAGAACAGGGGCAGGACATAGTATTTTTATTTAGTGACTCCTGCAGTAAGGCCCTAGTATGTTTGTGTACAAACCATAATGCACAGAAACTACAAGACAACCTCCTTCATATTTCTGAAACTTCAAAATGTACTCCTTTTGCAAAAGGTTTGCAGCAGGAGGAAATACATTTATTGCTATTGTCTAGTTCTTAATTCCTTCTTTTCTAGCAAAGCTTGGGGAGAGAAAAGGTTACGGAGAGACTCGAATGAGTCTCAAATGATTGCAGGAGAAAGGAAAAAGTCATGCTTTTATATTAGATGTAACAAAACCCTAGTCCATAAACCACTGGTGATTAAAAAAATGACTACCAAATTTGTAAACAGCTGCCACAGTTTCTAAATATACGGGTGACACTGCTTCTCAGATATCATCATATGGTTAATTGTTGACAAGTGCTGGCTTTCAAAATAGTAACTATCTGACAGTGTTTAAGTCCTCAGGGGATTTTATTTATTTTCATTTATGGGCTGTGAATGATAATATAAATTAGTAGCATTATTGACGATCTAGAATTGGGATCATCAGTGATTTTATTTCTCAGGAAGACTTCCCTAAGCAACTATTCCATACACGTTCCCGCTTGACAGCGGGAGAAAACCAGTCACACACCCCCTCACCCCGGGCCATTCTTCAAGGTCATTTTTAACAGACATTTTGGCAGCATGTCCAGGGTTCCCTTTCTTAACGAGAAGTTTTAAATTGCTGAGGAAAGCTGGTATTGAATTACTCGTTGAGAGGGCGGGCTGCAAGAGGATGATTTTATATAGCCTGCTAGGTTACGCACTGCAAGCTTGGAAAGGGGCTGGAAACATCTGGTCAGAGCAGCGCCAAGATCTCAGCAGCTGCAGGTTTTAAAACTCACCGCCACGCAGGCGAGTGCGGACGTGACAGCCGCCTGTGGGGGGAGAAACACCGCCGGTGTAAGAGCCTGTGACAGTGGCCAGGATGCTGGAGGTGGCACGTATCACCGGCACGACAGGAGTCAGCCTTACTAAGCCATTTCTCTGCTGACTCGTCAAAACGCATTATCGTTTCCCAAGAGGGAACTGGGAAGACAGCCATATTAAAAATTCATAGGGACTTGCCTTTGTCGCTTTCTGGCCGTCCTTCAGCGCTCCGCTATTAAGGGGACCACAATGTTATTGGAATTCAAAAGCATCCTTCCCCTCAGACACAAGGGGGCATTTCAGCTCGCTGAAGCTATTCATAATACACCACAGAACCCAGCAGTGGTTTAGGATGAAAAGGAAACCGAGACGTAAAACCATGTCTCCCCTGAAAATTTAGTTTCACCATTTCCACGTTTTTAAAGTTCCTGAAACAGCTTATCCCCAGCAGCAGCGGACAAAAGGAGCAAGAGACATATTTCCTTAACTGAGTCACAGCCTGAGTTACCACAAACTCATTTTCCCTTCTGAATGGTTCAATTTCTCCTCTTCCCCTTTCAAAGCGAAAGCATAAGCAGAAAGACTCCTTTTTTCTTACTAGCGGAGCAAAATTCATTCGATCCTTCATTCACAACTCTATGCCTGGGACTGGCTTCTCTCTTCTTCACAGGATTCATTTATAATAAAACCTCAGGGAAGCTCCCAATTACCAAAACGTTGTATTGCTGAAATCTGCTTCCTCCTCACTTGCTGTTACTCACATGAATGCAAACCAGTTTATACCGTTAAGTCCAGCACATAAAAGCCTGCAGACCAGCATTTTGTTACGTAGGGAGCGGTCAGGCATACAAATAGTTTCATAAACATCTTCCCCTTTTGAAACGAGAGCTCAGAAAAGGCAAATAAAATAAAACCAACCCAAAACACAATAACAATCCCACTCTGCCTAAAAACTTCAGTCCCATATTCCATTCAGTTCACTATAATCTTAAAATAGAGCATACCCAAGATAAAAATAATAAAATTGGTGCAAGGGATTTTGTGTCTATGCACAACCAACACCACAGTGAAGTTACAGTTTTTGTTAAGAGCTGGTTGGCGCTGTTTAGATGCAGATAAAAGGCACTCTGGGGCATGATACAGTTGGGAAGCTGCACATCTATGTATGCCCTTCTCCACAAATTAACTAGGAAGCCTTCAAATGTCTGAAACAGCAACAATTTAATGTTTCACAAGTGTCAGGACAGAATCAGAACAAGTTTTTAAAGACTAAGCAAGTTTCACAAGTGAATGGAAAATATGCAGGATATAGGACAAAGCTCGTTTCAAAAACTAAAACCATACGCCACGTAAAGTGTTTCAGTTACAAGATTCAGAAGTAATAACTACAGGGTATCTTAAGAACAAGACATAATGAAGTGTTGGCAGCTCTTTACAGATGTAACATTGCTTATTTCAGACCACACTTGTTTTGCAGCAAGTTTCATAGTATAAAAATTAGAGAATGGCATTAAAAAAAAAAAAAAAGGAGTGTGACTGGTTTAACATTATTTTTTCAGAAAACAATTACGAAGGGTTGGGTTGAGTGTCACAAATACCACTGTGCTGCAAACAGGTAACTCTTAACAGTTCAGCGGTAGCCCTTTGGGGATACATCTACATCCTGCCAAGGGAGCAGGAGATACTGAATTACTTGCTGCAGTCAGATTGCCTCCAATACCCAAGCCAGCTCATTTCTAGAGCTAAACAGCATCCTTGAACTACACTAGTCTGTATTCTATGCAATTAGCTTTTGATTAATGAAAAAAAAACAGTTAAAGTCTTCCATTTGTTGCATAAACTTACCTCATTACGCCCTCAGAGCAGCATGGAGTGAAGCAGCTGGTAGAACTAACAAAAAGAGCAGATAACTTCGTTTGCTGGGCTTTTGCTCTCCCTGCCACCCCAAATCTCCCACGCTTATGACTAACATGCTACCAACATATACAACAATTAATGATATCAAATAAAAGTTGTTCCAGGCTGCAGCTGAGATACCCATGGCTCAGAGACTCGGTGACTACTGTACCATAATTTACACATCGTATACTTTCAACACCCATGAATATCAGACTAAGCTTTAGACAACTGATATGTTTGGATATTATTTTTTTTTAAATTTCTAAAAAGCCTCCCGCTACACCCTTCTTGTAAGTTCTCTGTAGGAACACAAGTTTTTAGAAAATACTGCATACACAACATTCACAGTCGTCTTCTATGGGCTTCCAAAGAGGTTACTTATTTGCAAAATCAGTACATACACACACACACACAAAACAGATCACCAACAGCTTCTACTTTAAGGCAACCTCAAGCTGTGTATTACAAGTGCATTTTGCCTGACACGCTGCAGAGGACTTACAGATGTTCCCATTTGAGGTGTGTCAACACTTGGAATCTGTCAGTATATTATTTACTTGGATGATGGTTTTGGTTTTTTATTTTTTTTAATTTTTTTTAAGGCCTCGTTCTACCTTTTTTGGCTTATTTTAAATAAAAGTATTGCATTTTATTCAAAAAATCAAAATGCAAAGTATGAGAGAAAGACGTAGTGAAAAATTCCTTGCATTTGCTTAAACAGAGCAGGAAGCTAACCTGGCGCACCATGGAGCTGAGAGAACAGCTTTGCTGGTTCTTCAGTGGTTTCCAACTACACAAAGGAATTTCTTTCAAGTCAGACAGTTGTGCTAGATGACCACAAACATCAGCCCAGTTTCCATTAAATCCTCGTTTTTTCTAGTGTCTACAAGAAGTTTATTAGAAGCAAGTTTTCACTTGCAGGAGATAGATGTGTGTCATTAAATACACCTGAGATGGAGCAATCTTGTTTTCAGGAAAAACTGACACAGTTTCAGATACCAGGATTTGTAAAGAGAGTCTAAAGCTCATCCTGTGAACTGTACTGAAATGACAGGCTTTCTTTACACAGCTTCACTTATACAAAAGGATATATTTTTTTTCTAATAAGGCATTAAGTTAGTATACTCTTTATGATCCCTTCTACCACGCTGTCAAACTGTCTCACTTCTATCTCCCACTCTCATTTCCAATTTCTCCACACCTCCAGTTCTATTTGCTCCAGCAGAAGGTGGTCATGGATAAGTTTACAGCCTGCCTACAAATACAGTTTCATACCCAGACCTCCTGGGGTCCGTCCAACCCTGCCGTGACACAGCTGAAGGATCCTTAGCAGGAGGATGGGGAAACCACTGAGAACAACAAACGGCATCTCCTCATTGATAGAGCGGCAGAGATTACCCAGTTTCTACGTTCACATTTTTAGTCCAAAACTGCAAAAAAAGACTTACAGTAAACGAATATTCAAATATGTATTATCCCTTCAGATACACTTACTCACTTCTATAGTTAAAGTGTAACATTTCACCAGATACAAAGCTTCAATCTAGGCTCTAATAAATCTTCATACTCTGTGCTAGCCAAGCTTCTTCTGTCCTTTACAGATGAAATCAAGTTACTCGCACAGCTCTTTAGAAGATGAAGTGTCCAAGACACATGGCTTCTCATGGTCCAAATCTCAGCAGATTTTAATGCCACTGATGCAATATTCTGGAGAATCAAGTATGTCTCAGTTTTGGTTTTAGTCAGACTTATCCTTTTTCTTTCCTGTTAAAGGCACTTTACTTGCAACGGCAGATCCTACAGCTGTAACACCTCCAGCCACAGCAGAAACGCCTCCTTTGACTAGCCCCACTCCCACTGAAGGCACAGATGTGACCGCTGTTTTGGTAATTTCCAAACTCTTCCCTCCAATCCAAGCAACACCCCCGATTGTGGCACCAACAGCTCCCTTCGTGACGCTGAAGAGGCCACCAGTCACACGGGAAAGCATGCCAGGCTGCTGCTGCGGGTGGTCTTTTACCGAACCTAGGGGAGGAAACAACAAGCAGATCAATCACAGTGCTGTAATCAAAAGAACCACAGTGCCAAATAAGACAAAACACTCTGCTGCAGTGACACGTAGGGAGACAATGCTGTTTTCTGAAACACAAATAAATTCTGATCCTACAAATACCAGGCATGTATCTCTCAGACGGTCTTACGTGATAAACTTCTGTCCTCTGTATGCACCACTACCCTCCCAGACTCTGGAAGGTCTCGTGGCTAAATTAGTCTCATTTCTGGGCTTATTAATAATGACACAGCCTCCTCTTCCTCCCCATATTAATATTCCCCACAGAGAGAGGGGCCCTGAAAAGCAGTAGCACCACTCTGCTGTTCAAATCTCCAAGGACAGACTGGAAAAAGTCTCCTGGAGAAGCAGAGCCAAAGGTTTATTAAAAAAAAAAAAAAAAGGTACTCTTTGAAAGAGCTCACCTTAAGACAAAGTTGCTTCTTTCCTTAGTAATTATGGTTTTGAAGAAGTGTTAACAAGGGTTGTGTACTGGGGCCAGGAATGAGGGAGAGAAGGTTACAAGCAAGAGAGCAATCAGAGGAGTCCAAAAAGAGAACAAGAAGGACAAAACTGATACCAGCTCTTCACAGTATAACTTACTTTCTTCTTCACGCAGACAAATCTAATTTTGTTCCAAAAAATTTTCTTTTTTTTTTTTTCTTTTCTATAATTTGCATAGGGAAAGGGAGGTGGGGGAGGGAAGTGCCCAACTGCCAAATAAGCTCATTAAATAACAGAAGTGGTCCACAAAGGTATTGATTAACAACAGCAAGGAGTTACAGGCTCACAACAGAAGTCCCAATATGATACACAAAACCAAATTTCAAACCATAGGGTTTCTGCATGTTATTGATCACGTAAATATGTTTTTTCTTTCTGATGTTACATTTAACCTGCATTTGGCATAGTTTCTTGCTATATGCTGTGTAAGTCAATTCCTATTCCGTATTTATGGTACAATTACATAGCCTCAAAATAATAGAAAGTATCAGAGTAATAGAAAGAGTCCCAGAATTAACAACTTAGCCCTCCGATAGTTTAGTAATTACTTCATATTTCTAAATGGAGGCTTCAAAATCCTAAAGATAAATGTGTCTTGCTTCTAAATGGAATTAAATCTGTAACTCCCACTACAGTATAAGCACCATCTAATCTTCAAAGAAGAAAAAGGAAGATGAAACGGTATGTTAATTTAAGCAAACAAGAAAATATCACCTACTGCACCTATAAACTATTAGCCCTGACACATGTTTGTCTCTAAGGTATTTTCAACGTGAGCCTTGAGAAACCTCTGGTCTCACCAATGTTGTGCATGTAAGTGTTTTTCACCTCCTGCCTTGTCAATTTTTCACCAACCCCCAACACTTTAAGAAGACTTCAGAGAAAACCATGGAAAGAAACAGCTACAAACAGGGCAAGATCTCCAGAGTTGTTTTGTATTTTCTAGCTACCCGTAGATAATATATGGGATTTAACAGACACGTTTTCCTTTCTCAGGGAAAAACAACAGGGGCAATCAAGAAAAGAGCAAGGGGAACCACAGTGAGCAGAGCTAGGGAAGAAATAATCATGAAATAAAGAGGTGAGAGAGTCAGCAGCAGAAAGAACACGCTTGGAAGAGGATGAGTATAGAGAGTCAGGGGAAAAGAAAAATCAGCTCTAGATCTGCCAGAGACCTATATCCAGCCCCTATAGAAGGCACTCACTGTGCACTGCAACATGCCTTCAGAGAACCAGCAGAACAGGTCTCTGCCTCCAGTGCCCTGACTGCTGAAAACTCCCATTCAGAGGACAGTTTCCAAGAGTCACCTCCCAGCACTCATTTGCTACAACATGAAAACTAATGTGAACAACAACAAAAAAAAGCATAAATATGAACAGTGCAAGGGAGCAAAAAAATACTAAAAACGCTTCTAGCTTATGCTAGTCTCTCTTACTGAAGAAACTGATATAGGTAACAAAGAGTCATGGAAACTAGAAACATAGAATCATGGAATGGTTAGAACTGGAAGGGACCTTAAAGATCATCGAGTTCCAACCCCCTACCATGGGCAGGGACACCTCCCACTAGACCAGGTTGCTCAAAGCCCCATCCAGCCAGGTCTTGAACACTTCCACATAAACACAAATGACAGCCTTTTACTTAAAGACAAATAATACCCCTGCTGGTTCATTCTAGGCCAGCGGCTTTCAGCCTGGACATCTCCAGCAAAAATGCATTGCCAACACAAGCACATGGAGATCAGAATTTCTGTTTATATATGGAAAGCCTTTAAAGAATCACTGTCAGAGAGGAGCATATAGAGCCTGGTATAAAATCCACTGTCTATGTATTAATTCAGAAGAGGATTTTTGTGACCACACTTGCACACCTCGTAAAAAATTTGGTCAAGAAGTGCTTCGCTTCCACCCAACTGTATCTCCATCATCAGGGTGAATGGGAGCAAAGTCTTATCACATGGAATTTTAAGAGCTGATTTCAGTAAATCAGACCTGATGTTAGCAAGAAAGGAGCCATCATATCTAACTTTAAAAGTAACAAGAGAGAAACAAACGTAACCTTAACATGCTTTTCCTCACATTACTTCAGGCAGCCAACGCTCTGACATCTACTCCTTTCACGAGTGCAAATACTGACTGTGACTTGGTGTATTAGTAACTTCTGATGGTGGTTGCCACATTCCCATCTCATTCCTGTTTGTATTGTCCATTAGATCTAGCAAATGCCTGCGGCTGTGAAGTTTTTATTGCCAGTTGATTTCTATTCTAGCATATGCACTCCCAGTCTCCTTGTTTCTAACCAGTATGAGGAAGAAGGTAAAACAGATCATTCCTAAACCTAGGGAGAAAACGACACAAGCTCCCTGTTCAGGGGTTGGCTCTAGCATGGTGTGTTGCAGCCAGCTTCCTGCTGAAAGGAGTCCAACAGCGAACAAGAGTTTGAATGAACGTGGGTTGCAAAGGTTGGCGCCACTTGCAAAGCTGAAAATAAAACATCAGAATAGCACTACTCATAGAAAGCACGAGCGCAAAAGCTTCTTCTACATACATATTTCTTTAAAGCCTTCAGGCACCAACCTCGGTGATGTGATTTGAACAAACTGGAACTATTTTTATGTTTACGAAAAACTGCAAATTGGTTTTGGAATTGAGCCTTTCCTCTAAGGATTTTTTTTGGCAGCCTGTTCAGAGATAATCTCTTGCCAACATCCAACTGGTAGCCTTCCATCCTCATTTAGCCTTCTTTCTACAATAGCGTAAGCGTATCACATATGAAGGCCCTGTATGACATTTAAAACAGGGATGTTCTTCAAGGGTATTTCCAACATTTTAACTAAAGTCATAAAACTCGAAGAGTGCACGTGAAACAGAATCAAAAGGAAAAAGCCTCTTCAAGGATGGAGCTTCCATTAAGATAAGCTGCATTTCATACTAGTCAACTCAAACTACACCAGCTTTCTCCACCTATTTAGACTTCATATTCAAACTGGTTGTTGTAATACTGAAATGAAGATACTACACAGAATAAAGTCAGTCTTAACTGCTCACAAATTATAAATAAAACCTTGCAGTACCTAGTGATGATCAGACTCTGCTGTTATGCTCTAGATCTGGACAACCTACTGAATATTCTAGGAAGATCAAAAAATGCTTATTTGTTTCACTGCCTTCCTCAAAAAAGAATCGGTTGTAGTCTACCAGTCAGACCACTGTTCACTTCCTATATGTGAGGTTTAACATGTATAAAACACAATTCAATCTTTAAGGGGAAAAAAAACCCATAAAAGCAGCACCTTAACAATTAGACTTGAAGATAACGCATATCAGGGCATAGTTTCCAACCTGGCATTTTCTTTCAGAAATGCTTCTAGTCTTGACAACTCCATAAGAGCTTAAAAAGAAAGATTTTTGTCCTCACACCGTGATACTGTAACAAGTTCCAGTATAGCAGATCTTAAGAATCACTGTGCCATGAAAATCTGTTTGTCCCTTTCCTCCCATCTTCCAGTACTTGTGTTTCCTGCCTAGTAGTTAAGAATAGAGTGAGCTATTCCACTTCAACCCTTCTCCTACAGTTAGTAGATAATGCTGTTGTTCAAGTGAAGTAAATTGTTCAGTTATACAACATATAAAAGCTAAGGAAAAAAAAAACCCAAACCAACAAACAAACAGAGCTTTAAAGGGCCATTATAAATTGAAGAGCAATGAACTGAGAGGAACCGGGACTCACCAACCTCTACATCCAACAGATTTAGTCTTAAAGCAAGAGAAGATAGAACACAGACAGCCTGTGTGCCAGGAACAGCTTTTGATCTAGTGTCCCTCCAGTCACGTTATGCAAACAGGACTCTTCACAGTCCTGCCATCCACAGCCCGGAAGGGAACTCTGCTCATTTGCAACTGCATTTCCTCTGCAGATCTAATAACCAAATTTCAGATTCATGTGGTTCAGGAGACCAAGATGCCACTGAATTAATTAAGTCAAGTGTTTGTTTGCTTTTAGGAAACCCTGAGATTAAGTCAACAATTAAAACCACAGTTAACTGCATAATGGAAAAGGGTCTCCAAAAGCAATAATGAAGTTTCATGTATTTTTAAACACATCTTGTTTAAAAGTCACAAGCACTATGAACTCCTCAAGCAAGGTCTCCAAAAGCAAAGCTGGGCTCTTTCCATCTCACATAATGAACAGCAGAAATAAATACCTATTGAACCAACTCACATCTCTGGAAACTAATCTGCAAATTACGTCCTTCAGTATCTGTCCATCTTCTCCATAATTTATCAGTACAGTTGTTTACTGAGCTATATGCAGTGGCCTTATTGTAATCATGATAATGCAGAAGTGAACAACAACCCAGGTGCATCCCATCCCAGGGATGCCTTGCTTACTGCTACTTAAATGAAAGTTAAACTGTTCAGCTTCCAGACCCACTTTTTAAAGAGACATCTGAACTTATGATGAAATTCTGGGAATTTACTTGACATTATGGAAACTAATACATACCTTCTGGTGGTTCATCATGAAGATATGATGGGACCTCCTGTTGATTTTTGTCCGTTTGATTCATTATTACCTAAAAAAAAGAAATTCACATATGCTGTACATCTTTTCTGGCAATGCATAAATGTTATTCATGAATCCAAAATTCATGCAGTTCAAGTTACATAGTAAAGGAAGTTCTTATTCGTCACCAGATACATTCTAGATTCGTTACAGATCCTGCCCAAAACTACTGCTATTTCATTATCAGACTCTGCTTTTGTATTCTTCAAGCAGACTTAATACTTGAAAACGGAGCCCTCCACCAGGTCAGCAGGCTTGGTGAGAGCTGCCACCCCACACCAAGTGCATCGCAAACCTAAAAAGCAATTAGAAAGAAAAACAGTATGAAAAGAAAAACTATTGTATGACAGTGGCTTTTATGTACTAAAAAAGCAAAGCCTAGTGATCATAAAGGTGTTGGGCACTAGAAAAACAACAGCAGCATGCCTATAAGATCTATCAGTATCTGGAATGCAGTACTTTAAACAAACAAGTCCTTGTGGCAGAATTTGAATAAGTGCCATGAAAACAAGATGGAAGAAATGTAGAGAAAACACTCCTTTTCTCTTGTAATAGTACTGCGTACACACTGTGGTGATAGCAGCAGAACCAGACTGTTTTAACTCTACGCAAACTTGTCAATTAAAGTATTTCAGAAAGATTTCTTTACACCAAAAAGCTGTTTCCCAGAGCAGTTCTCGAATAGCAGTCCCTGACAGTGAGGGGAAGCACAGAAGAAAGCTCAAATCAGCAGCTCTGCTTACTGCCTTTTCCCTTCAGAGGGAAAGAAAGCATTATCTAGTCCAGGTTTCCCTCCTGCTTTCTTCCACCACCAACACCGTGCCTCAGTGTTAAGTTCTGCCTCCTTCCCTGAGCTCTCCTGCCAATCCTGCTTTCCCTCCTCAGCAGGCATTGCAGTCGGGAAGATGGGAAAGAAAAACAAGTTGCATTTTACCACTCAGCATCCTTCTGTCCTCCTGCCAGTGACCTATTAGTTCCCTTCTCCCCACAAGCCTTTAAATAATTCAGTTTCTTCCAGGAGTCACCGACCACCACAAAAATAATTCCAGCCTGCCTTGCCATGCCAAGATCTCTCCATACGTCCTCTGGGTGAGAAAACAGTGGCTGGGATCTGAAGAAAGGATGAGGAGGCAGAAGCAGAACTTGAGGGTGGGAAGACTCACCTGGAAAACAACAGCTAAAACCCTCGCAGTATAATCATAAAGTCACAACATCACAGTAAAAACCGGCACCCACACACTACATGATAGATCTTTGGATGCGAAGCAAGTCTAAATTGAATATTCAAGAGTCTTCACAATCAGCACTAAGGGTATCAGTTCACGACTCAGAAAGCATAGGTACCTTGACAGAAGCAGCTGAACAGGAAAGCAAGCAAAAAAAACCCTCCTACCAGGTTGGCCGATTTGATGGCAACGCTGAACAAGTACCTCTCAAAAGCCAGAAATACAAATGTGGAAGCTAAGAAATAGGAAAGTGAGCAGCAATGCATCAAGATGGATGACTAAATACATGAGGGCTAAGAGGCAATCTGAAAAATATCAATTATAGCATTTCTTGTCATTTTATTTAATCACGGGTCAATAAATCAAGGAAAAAAAAATAAAAATAAAGAAAAAATAGCGCAACCGCTCCCAGGGAGCAACCAAGGGCAATCAGGTTCTGAGAAAGGACTGGATTCAGGTACTACATGACTGCTTTGCATTCATCTACTGCAAGCTGGAAGAAACACAAGGATTTTGTCCTCACTATGTGAAGTTGCAGGTAGGTTGTTGTTTTTTTCCCCCAACTTGAAACAAAAATATCAAGCACTAGAAGAAAGAAAAGGCAGATGCTGTAAGAAACTGACAGGCCTAACATTATTTGATCAAGACATCTGTATAAAGATGAAGCAACTATGTTTCTACTTAACATGTGGCCATTTTGTTCATTAAGATGATTAGTCTTTCAGGAATTTGGAAAGATTTTATTTGCTACATTACAAAAGGTCCTAAAACAAGTAAAATAAAAGTCACAACCTAGCAAGTTTTACTTCAAACCAAGGAATAAAAAAAGGGACCAAAACAATTTTAAAGCAGGCTCAAGGGAGACACAAATGAGTTAAGTCATAGATAAATTGATTTTTATAAATAACTACCTCTGATAATGTATTTGTATGTAGCCAGCATGTATCTCCCAAAAGAAACCCCAGTGAAATTGCTTGTTTGAGCTTTCAAAAAGTTTCTGTCAACAATTCCTCATAAGAGGCTCAGGAAAGTTATTTAACCTTATGAGGAAAGACAAAACACTGTCAGGGATTATCAACAAGTTTAGAGGGGAGATAGGGTAAGTTATCAATTCGGAAGATAGCAGAATGCTAGAAAGTGTCACAAGGCTCCGCACAAGTTTTAGTATTTTCTGCTATTAAGAAGGTATTGGACACAGCAGCACATACAGCAGATACAGCCCCGATGAAGTACCAAGGATCCGCCATGTTAAGCATCAAATAAATAATTAAGATGAGACCTATCCAATGGAAAGAGTCAGAGGAAAACTGGCAAACAGCTCAGGTAAAAGGTGCTTTCATAACCCTCTGTAATCTAGTTTAGGCTGCTGTCAGATTTGCTTGCATTTCCTGCAAAGCTAAATGGCCAAACTGATGTATTGGGGCATGGGAGTTCCACAGCAGCATTTCTAGTTTAGTGATAAAGTATTAAAAAAAAAAACCACCCCCAAACCAAGCAAACATATAAAATCACAGCACTACATAAAAAGGAAAGTTATAAGATTAGGCATTCCCTCCTCTGCTACCTTCCCTAGAACCTCAAGGTTACACAACTCTGACCCCAAGCTACTTTTAAAAAGGTACGTTACACAATGCATCACTCAAATGCAATGATTTAACCCAACTGCAACTCCTTCTAAACCGCAGAAATACTTCACTCTCACACTCAACCACATGGACCACAGTGGTCTACCTTCTACAGCTCATGCACCTGTAACCTGCTGCCAGCAGACCCCAGAAATTAATGGGGTACCTATATGGGCCTGAGAAGAGCACCTAAGGGAAAAGAAGTTGAACTGAATTTGTTGTACACAGAAGTGAGCTTTCAGTGGTCTGCAGATCAAAAAGTTGAGAACTACTCTATGATGGGTGGTTCTACAAGTGCCTGGAAGCACTCCAGGGATGCCACAGGAGATGCGCCTACCCAGCTTGTGCTAGGTTGTACTCACTGTTCTCCTACTACATCAGCACAAATGAAAACAGAATCACGTCACTTTCAGAAAAGGCTCATGGCTTGACCTGAAACAGAACTTGGCACATAAGAGCTCACAAAGCACAATTCAAGTCCTTTTGCTTTTCTGTAGATGCTCTCCAGCGAATCACAGAATCGAGACCGAGATCCAACAAAGGACTTTAAGCAGAAAATTTTTAGATATCTAGGTTACAGCCTGCGTCATGCATCCTTGTATCAAATTTAACACGTCAGGAGACTTAAGAGTCTTTGAAAAATGATCCAAAATCCTGTGTGCTAAACAGGGTGTAGCATATCTTGTGAGCAGGAAATACTACACACAGCAGCATGTCTTTCTTAAACCTGGCTCTCCTCCAGAGATTTCAGGTGAGTATTTCTATTGACTGGAGGTCAAAGGCCTGGAATAGCTGCTTGGTGGCAGATGACTTCATCCAATCTTGGACGAGGGCAGGAATAGAATTTTTTTTCTTCAAAAATTGAAGTGAGAGAAGCAGAAACCACTCAGTATCTTTTGTGTAACATCATCAAGGTGAAAGCACTCACCTACAGTTCAATGCCTCCTTTGTCCAATAAGATTCAAGCTCGTATGTCCCACGTTGCAGAAGTGTCCTGGTCACCAGACTGCAGTGTATCCTAAGGGAGGTTCCTCTTCACCCTCCCTGCTGAAGGTGTGTCCCCACAAAGAAGAAAGCAAAATTCATGAGACCCAACAGAGATTAAAACTCAGCTAACACTTAAGGCACCGACCTGGAGGTGCAAGGGTAAGTCAGACTTTTGTATAGAGAATTAAGTCATTCAGGCATGGAATTGAGTAAGGAACTTTGGAAACTCAAGTTGGAAGCTGCAGATTCAAAGTCCCCTGTGCACTGAATCATTAGTCATAATTATTACCAGAATTGCAAGCGCATGCAACAAGGCAAAGATTTATTAGAAGCCTGAACCTTTGAACTTTTCTGATATGTCTTTCAGAATCTTCAGAGTATGCCAGCTGGCCAAAAAAAAAAAAAAAAAAAAAAAAAAAGGGAAAAGGCAAGCAAGTAGAGCTTTTCTTGGCATTTTCATCCTGTGATGCCAAATTTACAGTGCCTTGTGTCACTAGGGAAATGTCTCCAGCTTCACTTAATGCCTGCATTAAATGATTACATGGAATGGGACGGGATCTCTATGAGTCCTGGCAGAACTCACATGGACATACATGAAACAGACATCTGGTGTATCAGTGGCACTCTCCAGTCTCCTCCTTCATCTGCGCAAATGAATACATAGGCTTTACATTTCCTTACGTTAAGAAGTGTAAGAAAAAACAGATCTTGAAAGAGATTTCAAACAGGGACACGTGCAAACTGCTTGCTGGGTTTTTTTTCCTGTGCGCTTATGAGGGTGCTAGTCACTCAAGAGATAAGGGATAACTTCTCATCTTTTTAACAACACATTAAATTATGTATCAACCTTAAGATTAAAAAAGTATAAAAAACAATAAAAATGGAAGTCACTCTTTCAATTGGTTTTAAAGAAAACACACTGTCATTTTGTCAGAATATAAAATACATAGGAAGCTTCAATGTTTTATGTTGTTGTAAAGGAAGAAGTGGCTTAGAAAAGTATTTTTAATTGGAGAGCTATTTATAAAATTAACACTGTTAAAGGACCCTGAATGAAAGTGCTAGGAAGCTATGGAGGTAACAGTACAGCCACAAATGCATTCACATCAAAGCTGATTAAACTAAAACTTTCTCACCAAATATACTCCTTCGTGAAGATCGTTGGTTGTTTCCACAGAAGTATTCTGCATACACCTACAAGAAAAGTAGAAGGTTAGTGACATCTTACGGAATTGCACTCCTGTCCCACACCTGCCACGCGAGTATGGTGGCAATCATAAATACAAAGCCCCATGGCAGGGGAGAAGCACACTCGGCACGGCCTTGAGATGCCACAATTTTATGAGATTTATCTCACCACCACACCGATTCCTTCTGTGTTCTTGGGCAATGGAGATAATTTTACTTGCTCCATGTGCTGCCACGAGGATTGCTATGAAGCATGGTAATTAATGTTCAGACACAACCTCTCCTTAACGGGCCTGCAGTTCTCAGACAGCAATTTGTAAAGTTTTAGCCTTCCATCAAGAAGTGGGCTCTAACCATTACCGACATGCACGCAGCTTCCTGAACTTCAGATGATGCTCCTGATGCCTTTCTGACAGCTTCCTGAACTTCAGATGATGCTCCTGAAGATGCAGATGATGCTTTACAGACAAAAAGCCCTACTGTTTCAGCACAGCAAACCTAGCCCAAGCAGCAGCCGGTAAAAACTGGCTTGTTTCAATGCCACTACTCAGATATTTGCGGGCAGCAACGAAATGACCCAAGGATGGGGCCAACTTCAGTTGGCAGCATAATGCCGCTCCAGAAGGCTGCGGCAGCAGCAGACAGCGCTGGAACGATTCACCTGACAGAACTGCAAACAAACCAATCGCCCCATCTTAGTCCATCATGAAAAAAAATTATCTTCCTTCTGCTCACCAGCTATGCAGTCAGAAAGCCTGGCTACAGAGCCAATGGAGAACAAAACAACCCTTGCCACGTGCACGGCCCTCCTTCCCCTCTTTCAGCGGCTGCAGATTTCAAAATGAACCCCATGTCTTTCACGTACATGAAAAAAAAAATATTTTTAGGGGTGATACTTTAAGAAATACATTTTGTAAAGAGTAACAGTGCTCTACTCTCCAAATTAAACAAGGAAATAAACATGAAGCCAAGAAGGTAATCCCACCCATGGCTGTCTGCGGGGTACTGCTTCAAACTGCACAAGCGACCCCAGACTATTCGCTTCCCTGCTTTACGCCTTGGATTAGGGCTTGTAACATGCCACAAGGAAGAGTGCTGAGTGCTGTTAGTTCTCTCAGACACAACCTCCAGAGCACAGCTGATATGGGAGCCTGTTTTTCAGTTAGTTAATGCAAGGGAGACAGTTGACTGAGCCTCTGCAGGAGGAACGAGTCAACACTAATAGCACTAAAGTAAAAAAACAAATCCAGGCACGTAGAAAGCATGTAGCTAAAAACCAAGAGCATAGCTGACATTTCAACAAGCCTTCTGTTTAAAAGCCAAGTTTCAAAATTCAGATTTATATACAAGGCAAGACTGGCTTGGAAGCAAGCATGTCAATTTCAGGGGAAGAAAAAGACACAGTTTTCAGGGAAAGAGTATATAGCAAGCTGATCAGAAGTTCCTAGGTGTGAACCACTGCTTACTTTTAAACCTGCAGCAGGATGGGCTACAACCCCTCCAAAAAAGATATCAAGTCTGGCATAAGAAACATGAACAACAGGCTCACAGCTTGCAGGGTTCAGCACACAACATATCTGTATTAAAAAAATCAACCAACCAAACATGCATCACATTTAAAAGCAAAAAAGGAGGCATATCTCCTGAAACAAAGACACCAGACCCTTAACTCTGCCCAGGACATCACATTATCGATTCTGCCTATGAAAGAATCCAGCATTTCTCCATCACTCTCAAATGAGGTATAGATCAGGCTCCAAAAGAGGCTCTTCGGAACATCCGATGTTGGCAATCAAGTTCTCTTGAGCAAGCATTTGCAAGATACCAATCAAAGGCTGCAAGAATCCAATGTCCCCTTTTCTAGTCCTCCAAATCGTTTCTAGAAATTAAATGATAAATTCCAGGGCACAGCTTCAGAAAGGCCACAGAAGCTCGATTTTACTAGTCCTGTCACCCTCTGCCTCCTGCTAACTCAGCTTTCTAGAGCACAGCATTCCCCATTTCTTCTAATGCCTTCCCAACCGCCTGAGCTCCACACCTGCCTCAGCAATCCTTTTCCAGGAGACCTGCAAAGACAAAACCTGACAGTGCCCAACAGTCAGGGCAATAAAGCAGCTACTGAACTTCCTTACCACCCCTGCTAATGAAATAATGAACTTTTTCCCTCGCATCCACCACCTGTTTGCTGGCTCCTGCCTGACATTTATCTGTTCACGTGCCAGACAGGGACCACCTTTTGGTTTGCGCTTTTGCAACACAAATCCATTTCTATACTGAGGAGGCAATACCAACTCTACTAAATGTTTAACCACAACTTAATAGAAAGCTTGGGAAAAAAAAAATTAAAATTTCTCAGTCTGGATAGTATTTACTGAGCAGTCTTAAAATTGATGCGTATACAAATCAGTATTTGTGTACTAAATTAAGCTATCTTTTATGCAGCCTTCCAATTATACAGAGCCATGCTGCCCAAAGCACTGCTCTGCACGCACGGGAGCGGGCTTCGTGTACTTGGTATTTATCTGCCTCACGCAGCGACATCCTGACCCAGAGTTCTCTATTAAACTATTCTGCCAGTTAAACAGGCAGGAGGAAGCATCTAATTGCATCCGCAGAGGCTGCCTGTGAGCTCCGCACAATGACCAGAAAGAACCAGCTGCACGGCTAGAGCATTTATTTTAGGCCAGGGTAGGTGAATGCCGACAGCTAAGCTGCTCCCAAGCGCTTTACCATAAAACTCTTTCAGATTCTGCTCCATCAAGCTGGACTTGGGAGAAATGGATGAAATAAAGAGCAAGTTACCGCAGGAAAACACCAGAGCACGGCGAAGTTTAAAAAGGGGGGAAAAAAAACACCCAAAAAACACCCAAAAAACACAAAAACGAAGCTTCTCCTGGCAGAGAGAAGTTCACGGGGAAGAAGAGGACCAGCCAACAGCCAGGCCAAGGCGACGAGGGGTGCCCAGCCGCCCCCCCGGGGGAGGCGCTCCGCCACGGACACGGGGAGCCCGCCCCACGGCGGCCGCCCCCCAGCCCGGTCCCGCACCCGAGGAGGCGCCCACTCCTGCCCGTCGAGGCCCCACGCTCCCACCCTCCCGGGGCGGCCCGAGCCCCGCCGCCCCCCCCGCCACGTCTCCCCCTCGCCGTTACCTGCCTCGCCGCCGCAGCTCGGCCGCCGGCGACCC